GTTTAAAAATTCAGCAAACCAAAATGTACAGCCAGTATTCAAATCTACCGTACTGATAATAACTATACATATATCCTTTCAATATTATCACTTATCAATGATACTGCAAGTTTCACAATCCATAATTCTACAGTGCTGTCAATCCACCCACACCCAAGATTATCACCCAAAATGAGAAAACAATTCTATCTACACGCATATACCCCACTCGTTTCCGTCTTTACCTTCCAGCTGTTGTTACGGAGACAGGATGATCAATCAGATATTTGAATTTATTCCTTCGAACAGGGTGCTGCCAGACATGGTCTACAATACGTGGAAGAGCGCCCTGTTGGAAAAAAGCGAAAACACAATGTCCAGCAGAGGGCACTCTAGTCAAAGAAAAGTTACCAATTTGAATATTTACATCAAGGGCATTTGAATGCTTTAGAGAGGAGCAGAATGCTTATTCAAGAACAGATTGAAAGGCAAATTAGAATATGAAGAGAGCATCAATAATATGCTCGCTAAGTTTACATAAAAACAGGTTAATAGAAACACTCAAGCAATGGAAACATTTGCTCAAAAGACCTGAGGGTCTTTTGCTTTTGGTTGTTTCTGGTTTTGTTTTTTGAGACAGGATCTCATTGTGTAGCCCAGTCTGGCCTGGAACTCATGATAATCCTCCTGCTTCAGCTTCTGAAGTGCTGGAATTATCAGTGCCAGTCACCATGCTCAGCAAGATCTGAAGTTTCTCGTTGGCAGGACGGCGCGGCAGCTGAAAGCCTGCAATCTGATGACCTGTGTTTCTCTCCCAGAACCCATGGTGGAAAGAGAGAACCAACTCCCAGAAGCTGTCCTTCCACCCTGTGCCCAGACTCACACATGAACTAATAATAAAATTTTTAATTTAAAATCTGAGTTTTAAAGAGCGTCTGAAACGTATAACTTTTGCTCACCGAACACTTTAATGAAGTAAATACAAAAAAAAAAAAATGACCCAAATGTTCTACGTATGTGTATACTCACCTTTGGAGCTTTAAGTTTCTTAGCAGGCAATAAGTTTGTAGGACAGGGACCAGCATTGGCTGCATAGTTCAGAGAAAGAAGAACTTCCTCGGGGATGAATTCATTCGGAAGGGAAGAAGGAAGGGGTTTGAGATGGTCCACCATGACTTTTCTCTCCTTCAGCTCAGGAAGGACTAAGAAAGTAACAGGAAAGAAAAACTTTCAGTGGAATGTTCTAGAGAGTTAAAGCTCCCCAGACTGCCTTATCAGTCTCCTATGTTCTTCTAACAATGGACAGGCACAGCAACAAAGAATACTTAAAGCACAGAATAGCATCCAGTCCACAGAAGGGTGGAGGGGGAGAGGCAGCATGAGAACACGGAGAGAGATACAAATAAGAAGACTGGTCTACAGAGTGAGTGTACAGCCGGCTGGACAATGGAGTGAGACTCCCCTATTTCAACATAAAAAATACACAGGGAGCGAGCTCAGGGGAGTGTCCTTGCTTAGTGTGTATATGTCCCTGAGTTGAATCATCCGTACCTCGTAAATAGTAAAAGGTTGATGGAACTGTAGCAAAATATAAATAACAGAACAAACAAAACAAAACCCCCTAAGTGACAGTGAGACTGGAGAAAGCGTCAGTCTGAGGGTAAGGATGAGAAGGTGACTGTACTTGATTCTTACTCTAGTACAAGGGTACATTTATCATAAATCTTCCCCCCACCCCTTTTTTCTTCTTTTGAAACACAGTCTCACTATGTAACTCTAACTGTCCTGGAACTCACTCTGTAGACCAGGCTGGCCTCAAATTCACAGAGATCCACCTGCCTCTGCCTCCCGAGTGCTGGGATTAAAGGCATGAGCTACAGAGTCCAGCCCCAAGGATGGAAATTTTAAGGACTCTCAGAAAAATCCTTGAATCTTATACAAACAGGCATAGAGTACCAAGCTGTGTTTATCTTATCCACACTACTGTGCTTTTTAAGTTCTCTTTAAAGTCAGAGAACAAGGAGCCAAACAGGGGGTGTTTCATACTGCGGTTAGCATTTAAACGAAGACGAAACAGGAAAACAGGGGGTGTTTCATACTGCGGTTAGTATTTAAACGAAGACGAAACAGGAAAACAGGGGGTGTTTCATACTGCTGTTAGCATTTAAACGAAGACGAAACAGGAAAACAGGGGGTGTTTCATACTGCTGTTAGTATTTAAACGAAGACGAAACAGGATTCTGACTTGGTAATGGCCAGGTTGTCCGAGGAGAAGGGGAGAACGGATTGCATTGCAAATTGTCAGTGGCTATGATGGTTCTGATCGATGGTTCTGATGGTGCTGAAGTTTACCTCTTGTCTCCTCCTTGACTACAGACAGTTTGGACTGTTTGACCTCAGCTGTTGATGGGGTGTTCAGTGAAGTTCCCGACGCTTTGCGGAGAGACATGATGAACAATGCCTCCGATCACTCCCAGAGCTATTCCTCCAGAAAAAATCAATTCAGAAACAAATCAAAATCGCGCTGCGTCCTTCAGGCCGCCCCGTAGTTCTGTAGGCAAAACAAAAGCAAATGAACAAAGGGGCACCTTGATGGTTTATGTTCAGATTGGAACTCAGAATTCATCTAGTATGGTGTCCCTTCTTCGGGGAGGGTTCTCTCGGATAACCTGCCATGTCGAGGAGGGGTACGGATGAGTCAGAGTCAGGGCCTCGCCCGGGAAAGTCGGGGTCCGCCGCCCTATAGACGGCGGGCGGGTCAGCGCAGCCCAGCTCCACGGGCTCGAGTGGGACAGGGTTCCCACGGCCCCTTCGGCAGAGGCCTGTTGACTGTCACCCGCAGCTGTACCCACAAATTGTGTTTCCCGCCAGGCCTCGGTTGGTAGGCCCCTTCCTGGAACGCCCTGCGTCGTCATAGCAACGCAAGACCCCGTGTCCTAGCAACCTGTGGTCCGGGCTGCCTCCGGCGGCGCCGTCAAAAGAAAAGACAGGTGGAACAGTCTCTACACTATCTAGCTGTTTCCGTGCGCTTTTAGTCGTGCGTAGTAACAATAAGGAAGACAAATAATTAATCTGGCTCTTGCCTTGGCATGGGACCGTCTCCAGTGGCCGCGCTTCCGGCTGCAGACTGCGCAAGCGCAGACCCAACTGGCTGCCGCGCTCCCTTAGGAACTCCCCTGTGGCCCCGCCCATACGATAGGGTGTTGTAGGAGTCGTGTTCGTCCTTGAATCCGTCTTTATTGTTTTGCGCATGTTCTAAATATCTCGGGTGGCTTCAAACTCACAGAGATCCTCCTGCTTCTGCCTCCCAATTGTTGGGATTAAAGGCGTGCGCCACCACGCCAGGCCCTACCAGTTCATTTTCACAGCTTGTGGACAAGATTTCATATTCATCTCTGGGTGCTCAGATAGGAGCCTGCAGATCTCCTTGAAAGGAGTCCGTGAGGGGGAAGTAGGCTAGTATTTGTATTTAATGTTCACAGGCATGCACCACCACACCTGGATTAATTTGGAACTTTCCAGAGAGATACTTTTTAGTATCGAAGAAATTTAGCTACAGCTTAGCCGAACACTTCCCAAGGGAATTAGTGATAATAATAATAATAATAATAATAATAATAATAATAACCTATGAGAATAATTACCTTTCTCACGGTACAGTAAATCAGGCTCCAACCAAGAGCAAATTGGGCAGCCATGCCAACCTTGAATATGGCATCCCATGAGAGCTTTCTCTTGTTAAATTTACAAACTGTTCTATCAATTTTGTAAATCAGATGCACAAACTTGGTTGAGTCCAAAGGGACCCTAAGCTTCCATAAATTGCCCTCCCCTCCTCCCCTTCCCCCCGCCCCGTGGTGTTTCTTAACTCTACACGGCAATGACTAGCCAGGCACACTTAACTTCTGAAGCGACTTCCCCCATCCCGCTCCCTTGCCCTGTGGAAATAGGTGGGCACAGTTAGGTCATAGAGGGTAAGCAGAGTGACTTTGTGCCTCTTGCTCCCATGGCTGTTTCAATGGGAAGAATGCTGTGATGTCAACTACTCATCATGATGCACTCCTACAATCTGTAGATTCTTTGGGGAGAAGGCGCCAGTACACTTGTGCTGTTACAACAGAAGACAAGATGGGCAGTCTGTGGAAAATAGACATTTATTTCGCAGTTGTGGAGACTGGGAAGAGCCAAGTGCTGGCGGGTCCAGTTTGATAGCTCAGTAATCTCAGCCCTTTGGAGGTTGAGACCTGGGCTGCAGAAACGGTCTCAACCCCAAGCCCCACGTCACCTCCCAAAAAGGAATGGCCACTGGGGGCTGTACACGACATGTATGTGGGAATGTGCATGTGAAGGTGCCCCAGGTGCAGAGGGAATTAGATTCCATTGTGGGAGCCTACAGTGTCCCCAGTTTGTGGTTTGATTTCCATCTTGACTCAAGGTCAGAGTCCAAGTTTGTTTTGCTCTGCAAGGCTGTATTACAGGATGTTTGGCCAAAGGCACAGTTACCAGATGTCTTGCTCCCCAAGGCTGTATAACAGGATGCTTTGCCGTAAGGCATGGTTACTAGATGTTTTGAGAATTAAGGAGGTGTTTATGCTTGTCTGTACCTTGAACCATGGTGTCCTTGAGAGGGGAGGTCTTTTTGCCGCCTGTTACGGGTATAAAAAGGCCCTGAGAAATAAACTTGGAGCTGCTGTGGTATTGACTCCGAGCCCCCCCTGAAGTTATCCCGTGTCTGTCTTTTTCTTTTACGTCTACGTCTCTATTTTACCTATCTATTATTTCTCAATCCTCACTTTCCATTCAGGACTGTTTGACAGATGGGGGGGGGCCCGGTACTCTATACACATGCATACACTACACAACTCAAGGTTTTTTTCTAAGTATATTTATTTACCATATTCACATATGCAGTATTTATGAACACAAAATTTAAGAAATCTTCAGAAGAATGTGAACAATACATTTTAAACAAATTCACCTCACCAGTGATTAAAGCAGGAAGAGGTAATCAAGATTCAGTAGGAAAAACCAAGCTCTCTTTAATCACACACACACACACACACACACACACACACACTTTAAAAACAACTTTTGCTGCTGTGACCTAGGACACGCAGACCTGAGATACATAGGCAGCCACTGCACAGTCCAAATGACAGGGCCTAGACCAGGGCTCCACCTCTCTTCACACCCCAAGAATCAGCACATTGACCCGCAGGCTACATCTCTAATGACTAGGTGTTGGGGCTGCATATTTCAACAATATTCAAAACAGTACAGCTACCCTTCAATAAGACACACACCACAAGACCCTGTGTGCCATCCACTCACCTGAAGATAAGTGTTCCACCAGGGTGGAGCATGTTGAAGTAGGGACAGGAAATGTGTGAAGATTAAAGGTGATCATATAAAAAGGGGAACATGTTTCCATTTAAACACACAACTTGAGACAGGTCTGAAAATAATCCATTCTTTTTCTCAAGTCTAAATTAGCTATTTAAAAGCGTTTCACAGAAGAAGAAAAAAATTCAATAAAGATTTAGAAGACTCCAGAACTCTCCTACCATCTTACAGCTTATTGTTTTTATCTGGTGATTTCTCAGCTGCCTACCGAACTGAGAGGAAAGAAGGGCTCTGATTTATTTCAACAACTGTATTTATTTCCTATATAACCTGGGCTTCTGTGTTTTATTTCGACAAAGGGTCTAGCACATCGCCTGATAGAAACTGCATGGGTGTTAAAAACAATCAAATCCTTACACAACTGTCACGTGTGTCCTACTCCTCAGAACCTTCTCCTAGTTCCTTCAAGGCCAGCCATAAATGCCTAGAGACTGAGATTTCCTTGCCAATGTGAGCAGTTACACATAGCATTACAAAAATGATGTGGAAACTAAATTACTGCATAAGATTAGTCAGCAAAGACACTTACACTTCATTAACAGTAATGAGCTATCTTCAGTGAAGAAATCTATTCTAAGGCTGGGTAGGGCTAGCTTGGTGGTGGGTGCTCACTCGGCATGCACAAGGCCATGGGTTTAACCCCCAATTCATCACAAAAAGAGAAATTGATTCTGCCTTCAAAGGCTATGAAGCCTTCTCAGAGGTCCTCATTAGGTCCCTTCCTCTCCAAAATTCTAGGACTTGGCTATGAAATATGCACACTAGTTCTAAACACTGGAGATAAATAACCAGGTCACAGCAGCAATGCTCTCTAGAGGCTAGTCACCTCACTCTAACGTTAAAGCAGATAAACCTGAAGCAATTTTGAAAAGACAAAACCATGCCCATCTAGTTTAAAAGGACAGGTGTGGTGGCTCCCGCTGTGACTCTCAGGGACAAGGCAGGGGAACTGCGTCTGTCTTGGGGGAGCCTATCAAGGAGCAGGGGGACTCAATGGTTGTGGTGTGGTGTCAGGGACCGCTTATAAGAGCACTAATTCCTGGAACCCTGCCATTTTAAAGAGGCAACAATCCACATTTAGGTTTTGACTGTACGGAGATTAAGCGGGAAGCTGTTTCTGCCAGGGCTGGTGCCCTGCGGCGATCCTATGAGGTAGTTATCCTCCCCACCTTACACGCGAGGACACTGGCTCTGTAAGGCAGGCAGCTCTGCCCCGCGTCACTTTGCTATGCCCGGCTATCTGAATCCACAGCCCACGCTTCGGTCATCTCCTACTGGTTCTCAACTGGGTAGTCTGGGACAGGAGAGAATCACTCTGCCATCTGAGAAGAACCCTACATAGATACATTGTGTCTGTGTTATGTAATGGGGCCTGAAAGACTGGATCACGAGTAGCCCAGGCTGGTCCCCAACTTTAACTAGTTGTGGAGCTAGGAATAACCTGGAATTCTGATCCTCCTCCTCTACCTCGCTAGAGCTGAGATCACAGGTATATGGTCCCGTTGCATCTTGGGCGAGCCTAGCAAGGGTTTGTGAATGGTAGGCAAGCATATCCCCAAATTATTTTTCCTCTTTTCCTTTTTTTTTTAATGGAGCAGAGTAAACGTCATAAAAGTTTACATCAGTTTTGTTACTAGTCATGTGACTTTAGCTCAGTGGTTCTCAACCTTTCTACTACTTTAACCCTTTCATACAGTCCCTCATGATGTGACCCCAACCATAAAATTTCTTTGCATGGTGGCCCATGCTTTTAATCCCAGCACTAGGGAGGTGGACCTCTGTGAGTTCGAGACCAACCTGGTCTACAAAGCAAGTTCCAGGACAGCCAAGGACACACACACAGAGAAATTCTGCCTCAGAAAAAAAAATTTTTTTTTTGCTCCTGTTATGAATTGTAATGTAAATATCTGTGTTTTCCAATGGTCTTAGGTGACCCCTGTGAAAGGGCTGTTCCACCACCCTAGGGGTCACGACCCACAGGTTGAGAACTGCTGCTTCAGCTTCCTCTTCCTCCCACAAACATGAAACTGGGCATGCCTCAGAATTTCTTATACCTGTGCAAAACAGATCTTTTTCTGAATGACCTTTCTTGGCAACTAACAAATAAATTCCATCTTTTTAGGTTATACAAAGCAAGTGAGTAATTTTCAAACATATATGACTTGTCCTGAAAATCTGTAATAGCCAATTTTTAGGCAAGAATAATTTTACAAGTTACATATCCTAAATGAGTTAGTTCTATAACAATCTGTTTGCCAATACAGATTATTTCTACACTGAACTTTTTTTGTTGTTTTGTTTTTTCAAGACAGGGTTTCTTTGTGTAACAGCTTTGGCTGTCCTGGAACTCGTTCTGTAGACCAGGATGGCACAGAGATCCGCCTGGCTCTGCCTCGCGAGTGGTGGGATTAAAGGTGTGTGCCACCACCACCCGGCTACACTGTACATTCTTGGGAACCAGGCCTACATTTCCCTACTGTCAAAAGCTGCACTGACTGAAGTCCGAAGCCGCCCCAGCCAGGTGTGGTAGCACACCACTTTAATTCCAACACTGGAGGCAGATCTGTGAGTTCAAAGCCAGCCTGGTCTACAGGACAGGGCTATGTAGAGAAACCCTGTCTCAAAAACAAACAACAAAAAACCCAGCCTTGATGTTCTAATTAAATTCTAACAGGAGGCAAGCAACATTATCCAGGCAATTTTAGTATATTAATCCACCACCAAAAAAACTAAACTTGCCCCCTCTCCCTCTCTGGAATTGAGAATAAAAACATCTGATACAGAGGTAATAAAAGACCAAAACAGACATCTAAATGCAAAGTGAAAAACTGTACATAAAGTGGTTTTCTTGAATGGTCTCTCAAAATCAGTTATTCACGCTTTTTTTTAAAGGATTTTTTTCATTTTACATACTATTTCCAGTTTCCCCCACCTCCCCCCATCCCGACACCCTCCTCCATCCACTCCTCACAGAGGGTAAGGCCTCCCTTGAGGAGTCAACATAAAGTCTGGCATACTAAGTCTAGGCGGGACCAAGGCCCCCACTCCCCACCCCGCCCCCCGAGTCAAGGCTGAGCAATTTCTTACAGGAAATACTCAATCCCTTACTTTGTAGACAGTAAGTATCATTCTTAGCTGAAAATAATTTTCACCCATTGGCACAACAGACAACAATAAATGACTTGCTTGGAGCACACTATCAGCAAGAAGTTTTGGTTTTATTTTATTTGTAAGTTCAGGCAGTGGTCTGAAGAAAAGGCTCCTGCAGAGGAAACCGTCGATGGGCTCACATGGTTGCCAGCCTCTTCTTTCACACAAGTCCCTGCTTCCTTAAGGACTCTATACTTTTGAGGTTTAAGACACTCTTACAATTCTAAATAGTTTGCAGACATGATTATCAGCTGAAATCTTGGTGAAAAACAAATCCCCAATGAAAAGCCTTGTTGGGTATGGCAGCACATGCTTGTAAACTCCAGCACCTGAGGAGGCTGAGGCAGGAGGATGCGAGGTCCATGCCAGCCTGGGCTGCAGAGAAAGACCTTGTCTCAAAAAGAGTGGGTGAGGGGAAAGAGCAGCCTTGACTGGTGCAACAAATGCAATACTGAGAACTGCTACAGAGTAACACCCCTTTCTGAAAATACATACACAATACTTCACAGAATGGGCACCCTGAAATCCCACCCCCTTACTTCAGAAGACTCTTATGACCAAGTTTCAGACCATTCTGTTCCCTCATTATATTCCAAATGCAATTACACATAAAAGTCACTTAGTTTAGCTGGGTGGTGGTGATGCACACCTCTAAT